TATTTCTCTTTCCTTCTTCCGTTCTGTTCATCCCCTCTTCCTGCCTCTTTTTTTTTCTTTTCCCCTTTATTATTTATTTTGTGAAAGATATGTACATAGTTCATATGTGTACACACACACACACACAAAGTGTGTATATTATATATAAACTATGTACATATATAGGCAGACAAGGTTCTTTGGGTGAATCTGATATCTTTTATTAGACCAATTTAAATAATTGGAAAAAAAATATTTAAGCAAGCTTTTGGGGTTTAGAACCCTTCGTCAGGCTGAGGAAGTTTCTGCAGTTGGTGTGGGCTCTTCCTGGATGGAATGAAAAGCACATTTTCATTCCATCGAGGAAGAGCCCACACCAACTGCAGAAACTTCCTCAGCCTGACAAAGACACGAAAACCCGAAAGCTTGCTTAAATATTTTTTTTCCAACTATTTAAATTGGTTTAATAAAAGATATCAGAGTCACCCAAAGAACCTTGTCTGCCTATGTCCTTAGACCAACACGGCCACAACCTACACCCATGTGTGTATATATATATAATTTCTGATTTTTGTATTGCATACAAAACTATGCATTTAAGGATCTTAGGACACAGGGAATCAGCAAAGCACCTGTTTGTGGTTGTCTAATCTGAGATATCAAAAGGCTCGGCTGTTTCTCAGAGCACCCAGGCTACCTGACAACTAGAAGCAGTAGGAAGTGTAAAATGAATACTGGAAATTATTCAAGGAAATTACAAAGATTCACGGTTTCTCTGACCAAGTAGAAGAAGATGGTAAAGCACTATTAAAACTTGGAAAAAGAGGAGAAAAGAGAAGAAAGATTGGACTAAATGACAAGGAACAGGTGCTACAAAACTCCATCGTAGGCAGTTTATCAGGGAAGCTAACAAAATCAATGCATTTCAATGGTCAATTGGGTAAATAGAATAATAAGGCATCTTCTGAAAAATATTAAGAATAAAACATCTTTGGGTAACTGAGGTCTAAATAGACTCTGAATTGTGATGAAGAAATAGTCAACAGATATATTAAAGTTCATGAGCAAAGCAGGAGGATCCATCTGTTCTGATGTGTTGGATGGAATAGGAAGTTAAAGATCTATTTTTTTAAAAATAGAGGCTTTGAAGCAGCACCTTTTTAAATTAAGCACCTTTTTTTCAAATCAATGGGCCCCAATAATTTCTACCTAAAAGCCTTAATGACACTAGATAGGGATCTATCTGAACAATTAACGGGAATTTTAACAAATCTTTATATAAAAAAATGCATAAATTCTAATGGATTGGAAGGCTGCAAATGAAGTCCAGTGTTAAAAAAAGCAGAAGGGGGAACCAAGACAATACAGACTACCTAGCTTGATGCAAATCTAAAATAACTGAATGGTGAATTTTGAACTTTAGCCTCTAACTCTTTGCTAATAAATGTGTAATTGATACCAGCTGTACGGTTTCATAGAAATTAGATCTTATTCCCTACCCTTCCCTGCCAAATAAAAAGGACAATAGCTTAGTTTAATAGTATGAGAAGTCTTATTGATAAAGGCAATTGTGGTGACAGGGTACCCTTTCATTTATCTAAACATTTGACTTAGTATCCCGGAACACTTTAATTAAAAAACAAGCTAGCATTATGTGGAATTAATAGAGCATTAATTAGATAGATTAAAAATTGTCTCTCTGACTGATCTCAGTATATCTCTGTGAATGTCCCCTTGTTCTCATGAAGGTTTGGGGAAAATTTATTCCCAGTCTGTCTTCTGTATAAGGTGCTTTCTAAGGTAAATAATCCTCATTTCTTCAATCTCTCCTCCTATGTGTGATGTTCCATGAGAGATTTCCATGAAATCCATTGTAGTTTCCTTTTTGAAATGGAGCAATTATGAGTGCAGATGGTGTTCTAGTAAATCATTATTCACCATAATTGCTGCGCATGTTTACTTTGATGCCACTGCCAGCCTTCTTGGTGCTTAAGTGGTTAGGAGTGCTTGGTGGCCATTTTGTTTTTTCTGTTTCTCTGGATACTCATACCCTGGAGTGAACAAGACTTGTGTGACTTGTATGACTTACAAGACTTGTATGACTTGGTAAAGCACTGGAACAGGTTACCCAGAGAAGTTGTGGACTCTCCATCCTTGGAGGTTTTCAACACCTGGCTAGACAAAGCCTTGGCTAGCATGATATAGTTGGGGATAGTGCTGCTTTGAGCAGGGAGATGACCTCCTAGGTGACCTCCTGAGGTCCCTTGCAACCCTAACTTTCTATGATTCTGTGATAAACTGGGGAAGGAAGTCATGCTGGTATTTAAAGTACAGACCTAGGAAATGGAGCAGTTGGTTTCTACTTCTGGCTTTGCAAGTCACCTGCAGTTGTATTCAGTGAGTCTGTTCTCCTTGGCTAGGGACAGGCATTACACATAAACTGGTTTAAGTGATCAGAAACTAGTTTAAAACTGTAACAGAACAGACATTCAGTGCACATAAACCAGTTTGAAAATGGCTGAAACCTGTTTGAGAGAAACCTGGTTGAATGCAGTATCAGACTTACCTGACTTGGGTCAAACCAGTTTATGCAATGTGTGTCCCAAAGTGCTTGCTGATTTAAGTTAAATCAGACTCCCCCAGCATCCCAGCATGCTCTCTGGCCTTGGCAGGGCTCTCTGCTCCACAGCAAGGCTGGCCCCACCCCTCTGCTCCCTGGCTGGAGCTCTGGCAGAAACTTGTAGGCACAGCAGGGTCTGCTGGCTTCCCCATGCCCACCTTCTCCCCCCTCACCACTTGCTGCTTAAGCAGAGATCCCTTCTGCCCATCTCCCACAGCAGGGACCATAGCCAGCATGTAGTATGCTAGCTAATGCTGTGTAAGGCAGATAAGACAGTGTCCACTTAGGGCTTTTTGAAGGTAATCAACAGCTCAGCTGGTAATGTCCCTGCATTCCTTCCTTTGGAAAAAGCTGTTTAAGAAGAGCTTGAACTAATGAACGACGCTTTGTTTTTTGATGGTGTGCTAAATGCTGATGATAGAGCTGATAAATACACTGTTATCAAGGGCAGGGTTCTCTAATCAGAGCACCCTGCTGGTGCCTGGCCACACTCCCTTCAGATCAGTCCTGTGGAAAGGAAGGGAAGGCCACTTTAGCACCCCCCAGCTTCTAGCCTGAGCCACTGCAGGCATGTGCCAGCATTTTTTCAGTCTAGAGAGGATGTCTGTATGGTTACAAAGTGATTCAGCCTATCCATGTTAGACTAACCTGCAAAGATTGAATCAATTCAGGCTCAGGCTTTTAGAATGTCTGTCCCTAGCCTTTTACCCCCAGTTTGAGATGATTTACACCAGATGAGAATATGACTTCTGTAGTTTTGCTGGAGTAAAACTGCCGGCCTTATTATTGACTAAAAGATCTTATGAAGAGGTTATAAAGCAAAACAGCTAACTGGGGGAACGGTTCAATGGGTGTGTGGGGAGGGGGGATAGGGATTCACATTGGATATTTTGAATAAAATGAAGCATCTTCATTTAGAAGCAAAACCCCTTAGACTTTTCTTCAAATTTAAGCATGTGTGACAAGAAATCTCAAGGAACAATTTGTATATACAGAAATGTCTTATCTGGTATGCAAGAGGTCATGGTATAAATAGCTCCATGCTTGCTAACATGCTGTTGATGGATTAAGATTAAGCACAGGCCAGAGTCATAAAAGGACACCACTGTGCTCTCTTTTAGTAATTCCTAGGCCTTGCTTATGAAACCATTTCTCTTGACAAGTATTTCGTCCCATGAGCAGACCCTAAATCACGTATTCAGAGCATATAATTAGGTGAGCTTTTGATCAATTTGAACAGTTATAGCAGAATAAAAAATTAGTCCCCATTACTGAGCTGAATAAAGATGAAAATGCCCCTATCCTAAAACACTTAGAAATGTATTTTACTAATAGGAATTGGGGAGGGGTTAGTTAGTTTTTAAACATATGCCTAAAAGTTTGCAGGCATGGGCAACTGGTGTCTCCCAAGTCTGGGGGGGCACCAGATCACTGATGGGGAAGGGGGGTGTCCCCCAACGGCTGATCACCGACCAGGGGGGTACCCCAGTGGCTGATCACCAAGTCAGCGGCAAAACCGGAGTATGCTTCCAGTTTTGCGGTTGGTGCTTCCAGGGGATGCATGACTGATCTCAGGGGTTGCATGTGCATCCGCATGCACCCCCTATGCATCGCCAGTGTTTGCAGGCATAGGATCCAAGATGCTCCTTTTAAAAAATATAATACATGAGTATAAATTCTTCATGTGTCTTGGGCTATAAGGCATCTCCTGTATATTCCTTATGTATCAAGAGATGCTGAGATATTGACTAACAAACAGTATTAGGAAATACTATTGTTCTTGTATTTAATGAAATATTTATCTCATATTTTACCAGTCATAATGCACTCATTCTTTAAACTCTGAACCAAATACTGCATAGTATTACAACTCACTAGGAGCAATAGCTATTTATTGAGAGTGGTATTGAAAAAATATTGCAAAATTAAAATAACTGTCCATAGGGTATGCCTATCCCTAGCATATAGTGAATTTCAGGAATTTAAATGCCTTTTAGACACACTTTTTAAACCATCATAAGCAAGATCTCTATGGGGCATATTCAGATTTCTGTTTTACCAGTTTAAATGAAGAGTAACATAATGTTTATGTTAAGATTCTGTATTACATTGACACACTTCATTCAAATCTGGTGTCTTTTCTCAATGCTTAGAACAATTACTGAGTAAAGATCTCTGTTTAATTTGTTTTCATCCTTTGATCATTTAAATCTACTATTCTAAGAGAAATCTACAATTTAGGACTTCAGGATTAAATGTGGGGTCTTTGGCTAGCTACAGTAAAATAGCATTTTATATTTGTAGTTAACACTTACCTAACCTGACCCACACCTTGTTCATCCATGGACTTTGAAGAATATTCTATACACATGTATAAGGGATGTTCCTTTTTGTGTTGCAGGGGAGCCTGAATTTAAATATGTTGGGAACATGCATGGGAATGAAGCTGTTGGAAGGGAGCTGCTCATCTTCTTGGCTCAGTACCTGTGTAATGAATACCAGAAAGGAAATGAGACTATTATCAACTTGATCCACAGTACGCGGATCCACATCATGCCATCCTTGAATCCTGATGGGTTTGAGAAGGCTGCATCCCAGGTTTGTAAGGAAATGTATATGAGAAGAATGGTAATTATGTAGATCAGTCTGAGACCCTTATTAATTTATCAGTTCTGCAATGACATTGGAAAGTGCAGTTTAATACATGTTTAGTGATACAGTACCCTTAATAAGTTGAATGATATACACAGGCAAATAGTACAGTTTTACAAATATGAAGTTTAATTTTTAAACTGTTTTACTCTATTTGTGCCCTATAGTATGGGTTCCTGCTCCTCCCTTACAACAAAAACTCTACCAAATAAGTTCTGTGCTCAAGATGTTTTCATAAAACAGCCAATTTAAGTGAAATATTGGAAAATTAGAAAGGGGAAGTTGAATTTATGGGCATTCTCTCTGGAAACATAAGTTCTAAGAATTATACCCAGCAGAGTATTTTATTTCCAGCAGAAATCCCTCATGTAGGCTTTGTGTCTAACCATGGCAACTCTAAATTAAAATGGTGGGTATCATATACTCTAAAGAAGCTTCATCAGAACAAACATTTAGCCAGAAATGACTCCACAATAACTTAGATTAGTGGATCAATTGCTCATCAGTATATGCATAATAAGGAACAGAGCCTGTATATTGTGGGGCTGGGGTTCTTGTGAATGGTCATTCCTAGGTAGAGGTAGGTAAAAAATGTTTTTCTTGCCCTCTGAAAAAAAGCGTCTAATTTCCTGAATGAGATAACATTAAAAATCTTTGTGTACTGAGAAAATAATAAAACAGTTTGAGTCAATCAAAGCTTATTGTTTCAGTTTTTTAAAGTATTTTATTTTTCATTTTGGCCTTTTAACTATTTTCTTTTTTTTTTGTTTAAATTTTTGGAAACAGAAGTCCATTTTGAGCAAGAAAAATGGATTTTTGTGTTTTGACTGTGTAAAAAAATATTTCCACAATTTGGAAACTTAAAAAAGTCTAACAATTTTTACAAGACTGACACTTTCTTAGAAAAGATTCTGATAGAACAGCATTTTCCCATGAAAAAATATTTCATGCAAAATACTCAAACAATTTTACTATGACTGCCCCTTTAATGAACAGTATGATTTCTGGTATAAAAAAAACATGTATCAAAAACCTCAATTTAGGTCATCAATAAAATATTTCCATTATATATTAAATGTCTTACTAATTTTGAGATTAGTTAAGTGAAATTATATAAAATAAGCATGTCTCAGTTCCTTATCAATCTTATTAAACTGATTCTCATGGAAATGAACTACTCATGGCTTTTAATGTTGCCTTTAAAATATTTTTGATATTACACCTCCCTCTAGTGGCAGCAAAGAGGGAACACCAATTTCCACAATAGTGGCAGTGTTTCTTACAGTTCAAAGAATAGATAGCCTGCTTTCTCTCTGATAGCTTGCCCTCCGCATGCCTTTTCACAGCATCTGATGAAGTGAGCTTTTGCTCATGAAAGATAATGCATCTCAGATTCAGTTTGTCTATAAGGTGCTTCTTCTACCCTGCCTTCTGTCGAGTCCTATTAAAGTTATTGTTTGAAAGCACTGGTTTAAATAGGAAAGAAAGTTTCCCACCCGTAACTTCAAAATGAGTCAATATTTTTACATAATAGGGTATGTATTTTATTTTAGTGGTATAATGCTACTGTGCCCAGCATGCTATGGAGGGGTTGATACAGACCCTAAATTAAAAGAAAAAAGAAGCTTTGCTTTGACTTGTTCACTAGGTAACATCACAATAAGAAGTTGTCACAATAATCACCAAAGAGCAATTATCACTGGTCATCTTCATGGAGAACTTATGCTTTTTGCCCAGGATGCAAATCCTGCTCATTATACCCTTCTTCCTTGCTTAGAGCAGGTTTGAATCTGCATCTCTATGACTTCTCAGTATTGCTTTAACCACCAAGTTTCAGGCTAGACATTGTCTAGGTCTCCTTTTGAAGCTAGATTCAGCTGGGAGAGGAATATATGAGGAGTAGGGCTGTGCTAAGCTTTGATCCCAGATTTGATTCTGCAGAGATTTGGCCCCATTCAGGGGCCAAATCTCCAAATCCAAATCAAATCAGAAGACCCTTTAATCTCTCCAAATCGAATCAGAACCTTCCAAATTGATTTGGAGAGATTCGACAATTTGGATACAGACACAGCTTTGAATGTTTTTTCTTCATACCTCAAGGTACCAGGCGGCTTGTGAATGTTGCAATGGTGGTGCAGATGGAGCGTCCCACAGGACCACGGGGAGCTCCCCAGTGCACTTGACAGTTGACCTGAAGCATTTCTGGGTCTGCCAGGGAGCACACTGGTAGGTCCCCCGTGCCCCCTCGGCTTGACGACTGTTGCCTCCTGGGTCTGGGGGGGAACCTGGGTTCCCTCCATTCCTTCCGCATCCAATTGCCAAGCCTGGGAGGGAGGGAGGCGCAGGGGGGCCCCCAGCATGCTTGGCAGTGGACCTGGAAGTGGACCAGAAGTACTTCCAGTCCACTGCCAGGTTCACCGCCGAGCACACGGCGGGTTATGGGGGGGGCACACTCCTGTGGGATGCTCCATCCATCCCAGCATCTCAGCATTCATGAGCTGCACCTGGTACCTTGAGGTATGTAGAAAAAACATTTGAAGCTGTGTCTATGGCTGAATCACTATTCTCCGAATCAGCATCAAATCTTCAGATTCGGATTTGGCCGAATCAAATCAGGGCCAGTGATCCGAATCAACAAATCAAATCACTATCCCCAGTTCAGGCTGAATCTGAATCCAAGTCAAATACGGCCTGTTTTGCACACCCCTAATGGGGAGCCAGGAAGAAGAGAACAAGCCAGAGGCTTTGTGGCTCAGTGCGATGGATGCCCCTCAGAAAAGGGAAAAGATTCTACCCTAATCCCTTGCTCTACATGAGTCTGAAACATATCCACTAGTCTCCATCTATTTTAGCCAATAAATTTTAAATGCAAGGTACAGTGATTGAACTTCCGGACTGGCCAGGCAACAAAATGACAAACAGTGTAAGTGGTATTTTTGGCATCTATGTGTCTGGAAAACTGTTTTTGGAGAATAAAATTAAATAGAATTATCTAATGTCACCTACAGAAAATATGAGGTGATTATTACTTGATTGGAGCAGTAATTTCAATGTCTTTGCTAGGCTGAGTTTCAGTGGGTGAGTGACTTTGAGATTTTATCTGAATATACCCACTCAGATTCTCATGCCCATTGGCAAAATCTACATTAAATGCATGGTTTACACTGTGCTGTAAAGGACAGCTGTGCATGCTGTTGTACCAATTGGAGAATTCCATAATCAGGCCCTCTCTGATAAAATTACTTTACTTCCTACCCTCAGACATTCTAATCTATGGACTTTAAATGAGAGGATGCCAACTGATCTCATTTGTTGCAATGAAGCATCAGTAAAAATGGGTACTTTTAAACAGCTAGGCCTCCATCTTTTCCGGGCTTTAACTAGATACCTTAAAATAGTCTGTTTTGTCTATATGAGCAGTTCAATCCTTGAGTTTTGACATGATTTGCTTTTTGCAAATGGACTAACAAGTGCAGTAGAGTTCCTAATACCAATAATGCATTGGGACTATAACATAGCACCCTATTCACCTTAACATGCACTTTGTATCTTCATATTTGAAGACTGATTTTCCAGGACATCTGATTTAGACAGAAAAAAAAATGTGTTCAAAAGTGGGCATATTCAAAATGCCACACAAGGACTTTACAGCGCTGGTCAAAAATAAGGGGATGGTTATGCAAAAACTGTTATTGAAATGTTATTGAATTTCAGTTGACTGAAATGTCAATAATATTTCTGTATAATGCCCCCACCCTCATTTTGGGGTAACCAACCAACCTGCACATGGCAGCCTGGGTAGGGAGGAGGCAGCGAAGTGGCATGTAGGGCAGGGAGCAGAAAGCAAAGCAGCATATCAGGAAGAGAAGGGAAGGCTGTGGACTTAATTAGTGGCACACCTGCCAAAAAGGCTGCCCCTCACTGCTTTAGTAGGTCAGTGATAACATTAAGATAAATAATAAAAGGTTGCTGAAGAAAGAAAGAGGAAGAGTCTGATTTTTGTTTAACACTAAGGGCCCATAAAAGGGCCTTAAAGTGGGTCTTTGTGAGTTTTAGTCTACTTTAGTTACCTTTGCTTCACTTCACCAGTGGATATAGGCTGGCGTGAGAATGGCCACTCCTGGATATCAGAACTATAGTTGCTGCTTTTGCTCCCACAGAGCTCCAACTATAATCTGGCAGAGTCAGAATTCCTTCGGTCTTCTGGAATTCTGCTCCTTAGGACCAATGATACAACAGTGCCATGAATTTTATGCTGTGCTTCCATGAAGCTTGTACTGTTGAATGATCCACATGCAGCAATCTCTGCTGATGATTTAAGAACTCTTGTTTCCCTTTATTATTTCTATTTCTTTTTCTTTTCCTTGCAGCCTGGTGAACTTAAAGACTGGTTTGTTGGTCGAAGTAATGCTCAAGGAATAGACCTGAACAGAAATTTCCCTGACCTAGATAGAATAGTCTATGTTAATGAGAGAGAAGGTGGTCCAAACAATCACCTAATGAAAAACATGAAGAAGGCTGTGGACCAGAATCCTAAGGTACTTTCTACCAAATCATTAGAATGCCTAGCTCATCTGTTGGGTTTTCTTTAAGGGAAACTTCTTGCAAGGTCTTACATCCAGAAGCCGTATGTTCTTAAATAAATCAAGATATGGTCAGCATTTACATTATTTTGTTTCTTTCTATGTTCTGGTTTACATTTACATGGTTTTAAATTTCTTGGTTTTGGTGCACCATAATTTCTTTTGTTTGGATGTTACTGGATGTTGTTGGATTTCTTTTCTTGAGTGGCGTGTCCACGTCTGATAACGCAAAGATGCTTTTTTAACTCCAAGCTTAATCTCTTTCCAAAGGTAGAGGTCATGGAGTCCTTTTTGATATCTATGTCTCCTGTATCTCTCTTTTTGATAAGTTGACCTTAAGTGCATTCTGCATGCTGACAATTCTGCAATGCTACCAGAATTCACTTGTATATTGAAGTTTATTGCATTCTTGGGTATGCATGCATCTAATTTGTGTTTAACAGATAATGTAATACCTAACTGTATATTGTTTAAAATCTCTGGAGGGATTCTCCCTCCATGTGATATTTGCTTGCAGAATGTATTCAGGAGCTGCTACTAATGTGGTGGCGTTCATGTTTTTGGGGCCAGAAAATGGCTTTTAAAATCTGTTGATGAAAAGTGATTACAAACTCTGCAGGTGTGATTTCACTTTGTTAAAGACAACGTTCAGTGGACAGAGTGCAGTGAGTGCTATTGAAATCAACATTTATTTTCTTTTTTTTCCTTTTGCCATTATAATTCCCATCCCAGATGGAGTAGGGCAACGTCAAATACAAACATGCAGTAATATGTGCTCTGATTCTGATGTAAATGTATTACGTTTCACATTGATGTAAAATCCATTGAAGTCAATGGAGTTACTTCAGACTGATGACTATGCAGTGATCTGGCTCCCAGTAAAGCCAATGAAAAATGTCTATTAATTTAAATGGATTGTATCACAGATTAATTCAGAAAAAAACATGTAATATGTGCGTAAGTTGTTAGACAGCTGAATATGTTATTACATTGAATATCAAGAGAGAATTGATGCAAATTACTTTTTTTTTTTAATTATAGCTTGCTCCTGAAACAAAGGGTATCATTCACTGGATTATGGATATTCCCTTTGCTCTCTCAGCTAATCTCCATGGAGGAGACCTTGTTGCAAACTATCCATATGATGAGACTCGTAGTGGTATGTGTTATGTACATTGATATATCAAAAGATACAAATCACATGTAGTTGTCTCTCCTTAAATGGGTACCTATAATTCAATTGGTAAATATCATGTAATTATATAGTAATGACCCATTAATTCCCTTTAGTTTTTTCCCCAGATATAATTACAATGTAACTTTGAACTCATTTTTTGTAATAGAGGGGATGATTTCAGTGGAGATTCATAGCAAAACTAATATAATGCAGTGGAAAATCAGATGCATAAAATTTCCACTGTTTGCACTATAATTTTAGTGAAAATATATAAAGGATTCATTGGAAAAAGCCTGAAATGGTCCCTCCAACAGGATCTCCTTTCTCAAAAGGGAATGCCAGGCTTTGGATACCTATAAGTGAAGATGTACTAGAAACTGTAGACTAAGTCTAGAAGCCCAGTGACTTCCTACATGGTACAATACCACAAATTGGTTGCGTGACATTTTAACTCTATTGAAATCAAAGGGATTTGTTCATTGATTCCTGTGGATCCAGGGTTGCATTGCTTGCGTCCCTGATGTTTGACTCTTTTTATTCTCAACAAATAATAGAATTTAAGTACACCATGTTTGGCAATTACCTTTTAATACATTGCCACTTGTTGATGACTAACAAGTAATCAAAGATACAACAGTTGACATAAGTATATAAGTAATCATAGGCTGTTTGTGTCTTGTAAAGTAAAGCAATACACGTAGGGAATACTTTCTTTTTATTAAAGATTTGACTGATATATTTAAAAAAAATACAGTTCTGAAAATAAAAGTAAGGCAAAATAACTATATTGTAGTTTTTCTTGCCTGAGCATCTGTAGACTGGAGCAGTTTCAGTTAAACAAATGGAGCACACTGCTATAGAATAATTCAGTCAGTTATCATACAATGTTGTTAAGATATTAATTAATGCCATGCTAGTATTGATATTAATAGAAATGGGAATTATTATTATGAAAATGATATAAGTAGCCACAATCAGTTGCAGTAAATAATATATGAATTTCACAGTGTATAGTTATAGCTGGCACCGTATATAAAAGTTTTGGACAAATTCTGTGCACTTAAAGTTTAATCTCAGCTATAGTTCCAGTCAGTCTGACTGCTGTACTAATCCATGTATCTTCTGGGTTTTTTTCTAGGAAGTGCTCATGAATACAGCACCTGCCCTGATGATACTATTTTTCAAAGCTTGGCTCGGAGTTATTCATCTTATAACCCTGCCATGTCTGATCCAAACAGGCCACCATGTCGTAAAAATGATGATGACAGTAGCTTTGTAGATGGAACAACCAATGGTGGCGCTTGGTACAGTGTTCCTGGAGGTCAGTTCTACTTCACTGTGTAGTACAGATTCTGTTACTCTCTGAGAAGCATCAGCAACTATGGTCCCTTTAAAATCAGGTAGTTGGTGATTGATAGATTATGGACTAAAATTGTAAATTAAAAAAAAAGAAAAAAGATCTTCCAAGATCATCCATAAAAGGCTCAGAGTACAAAGTATTCTCCTGGACACATTTGCTATGGTAGATGCAAAACCCCTAAAAGCTACTGGATGGCAAACATGGAATTCCCCATGCTCTGAGCTTGAAACATACAATAAGAAAAGAGAGGAGGTAGGCAGCATGCCTCATAATAATATTTCATAGTTTCATAGTTGGTAGGGTCAGAAGGGACCTGAGCAGATCAAGTCTGACCCCCTGCCATGGGCAGGAAAGAATGCTGGGGTCAAATGA